TTTTTTATTACGTTCGGATCGTGCGGGTCCCAACGCGTACTAGACTAGATCTAGCACTCTTCAAGATATATCTTCTGTAGCCTACATTCAACGTTGTATTTACGAAAAACATGTTTCATAACAATGTAAAGATATAGGCTAAGCTAAGGAACACAAACTTGGGAATGTGGTCGTGAAAAAACACACCGATTTTTAAAAATGCATAAAAAAAACAAATAAAACTTAACAAGAATGAGTACAAAGCAGCCCTAAAACATTAGGAAAGGAAGGTGGAAACAGTTGATAACTTACCGCACTGGTATCGAAAGTTAGCGGAACTGTGGCACCGGCAGAAAGTAGACCTACAACAACTGCCTGGGAAGGCGTCTGGTAGCAACCACCTGGGTGAGATCGATCGTCTGGGCCAGGTAAGCAAAGGGCGGTCACTACTACTTATCTTGAACCTATTACACACTGCAGTAAGCCGATCCGTATTTCCCACAACGCGTTCTAACATGAACTTTCATTGGTGGAAAATGTCTCCTAACAATTCTGTCCATTTTGATTAAAACCCCAAAAGTTGACAAAATCATCAGTCATCATAGTAGTTGTCATAATTAATATGAGAGAATATACCAGCAAGAGATAATTATTACTGTCTTTTACGAAGGAAGCGCACAACGACTTCGAAAATCAATTTGGTATGTAGCTCCGTTAGCAACAGCCAATCAGATCCTAGCTAACAAACGATGTTTGTAAACACTCAAGCATGGACGATGGACCCGTTGAAGCCCTCCGTGTTAGTCAGGTAGTGTTTTTTTTGTGTGTGGAAAATTGCGGGTTTGTAATCCTAAAATATAAGTAAAATGATAATAAACGACATGTGTACTTCCTTTTCAATTGGTCAGAATTACGATGTGGGTTATCATGGGAGAGTGTGTTGCGAAACCAGGTTTAGAAATACCATGTCGTCTGCAATCATTCGAAATTGACGAAATCGAAAGTAGCCTAGATCTAGATTAGATCTCTAGATTCTAGATCTAGATCTAGAAAACTAGAGTCTAGATCTTCAGACTAGATCTAGAGTCTAGTCTAGAGATAATTTATGAATATAAAAGTCGGCACAAGTGAAGATGTGGTCTAATTTAAGGAAGAAGCTAGCCGTACTTAATGACGGCCTGGTGGTCTAGGCTGTACTTATTCTTTTAATATTAATATGATGATGATGGCTAGACTGGACCATAAAAAAAAATAGGCCTTCTGAATTGTAAATATAAATTTTTAGTGTGCAGTGCCTCCTAAAGTATTTGTATTTGAGACGAAACCAGATGCCTTAGTGGCAGTGCATGTTACTAGACTGGCAGTCTAGCCGTACTTAAGTACGGGTAGACAGCCAGGCTAGCCGTACTTAAGGACAATGGCTGAATTGTAAATGAAATTTTTAGTTTGCAATGCCTAAAGTATTTGTATTTCAGACAAAAACAAAAGGTGCCTTACTGACTTGCATGTATTTGAACCTGAATAATTTACTAGAAATCTAGATTCTAGATCTAATGAGACCTGTGTACTTAACAGGCTTGAGTCGATAGGGCCAAACCTAGAAGATCTAAGTACGGCTAGACTGGCAGTATAGCCGTACTTAAGTACGGCTAGCCACTTCGCTAATTTAATGACAGTAATGATCTCGAAGATCTAGAGAATGTGTCACGGTGTGTTGTTAAAACATGATTGTTACTGGACCAAACCCTCCCAAACCCTAAGGATCCTCCTATTATTTAGAATCGGCGATTCTGTAGGACTCAGGGGTTGGACATTTTGGCTAAATCAGTCAGGGAATCTCCAGATTGGGCGAATTTTCTGCAGTTTCCACCCTCGCTTATTTGAACCTTGATATAGGTCTAGATCTATTTTAGGCTATGTTTAATGCTCGGTGAGCGAGAGATCCAATCAAACCTATCTGGAAAACATCAAATTATTATGATAAAATTCAGGGGGGCAGGCCCCCTCTATATTTTGTTTTAGTCAGGGGAAGCCCCCCTAGCCTACTCTTGGGGCCAAAACCAGCAAAAAAAGCGCCCAATCTGGAGATTCCTTGACCTGATTTTGCCTAAATGGCCGCCCCCTGGGCCGGAACATCACAAGTTGACTAGTCTCCCATAGGCCAATAGGCTATTTATTTACATGAGAGCCATACGCTTCAAATAGCCTAATATAGATCTAATCAATCACAGAGTAACCTACAATCTTCAATAGTGGCCTTGCCTTGGCAGAGTTTTGTTTACACAATGGCCAGTTCTATTGGGACTGAAGTCTGATCAGATTTTTTATCAATTAGGAATCAAGTCCGGAAATGGGTTTTATCTTTTCAGAGTCGGGTGCGAAAAAATGTTTTATTTATTCTGACTCGGCTTCTAAGTGAGTTATGTGAGTGTTGTTAGGAGGTTAGGCTACACAATATAACTGTCGTCGGGTGATTTTATTACGTAAAACCAGAATTACAACTAGATCCTAGAATTACCTACTAAGACTGTGTAATTGTGTCAAAAGACTGCACTCTCATTGTCCAATGGCAGTGTCTACGTACACGGTCACCGAAAACTTAGGGTCTATGTACACGGTCACCGGCCGCGGGCACCACGACCAGTCTGCAGCTGTCACTTCCACCACCGTTTGTCTTTCTACTTATGTATATTAAATTTCCTTTTGTTGTGTGAACCTATAGTTTTTCTGTAATTAGATCTAAAATATTATATTTTTAAAAGTAAGTGGAGAATAACCTATGTCTGGCTATTCTTTCCACCTTGATTTACCGGAAATGACCCTAGAGTGATCAAGGCTGATATTACCGGGCTGATGCCCCACAGGATCATGTTCGTGTCACTTTGGAGCCAAATCCCAGAAATTTGGCTCTTTTGGATCGCGCCTGGCCCGAGGAATTTCATTTAGTTTTTTGGCTACATAAGAAGGGGAAAGAAGAAGCAAGGAAAAAAGAAAAAGAAAGAAGAAAAGAAAAAAAATGAGAGTGAAGAAAAGAGCTTGGATTGCTAAATAATTAAACTAGTTAACACGATTTAACTCCCTCGCCTGTTTGGTCTGAATAAATTTACAACCCTTCTACCGTCGTGCAAGAGCCTTTTGTCTCGTGCTAGTGTCCCATTATGTTGGTACATGCTCTCTGTTCCTTGAGCCCACATCCCGCGCAGTAGCGTGGGTAGTGAGACATACTTTTTCCATATCCCGACTTTTATTCTGTAAGAGCGCTCCTTCATCTCATGGGGTGGAAGGCTGGAGTCAGGCTGAACTATTACATTAAAAAAATATAGATCTACAAAAAAATCTACGTCACTGTTGAAGTCCGGGGGGGGGGGGCTGAGAATAGCGAGTCATGAGCTATTCTCACCAGGGGTGAGACGCACAAAATCGACAGCCGTGGCCTCTTCCCAACGCCTCTTCCCCCAGCAAGCCGAGAGTGCGTGATCGCTACGCGCAATCTCATTGGTCGACATATTAAACTTTGCCCCTGGCAAGGTCAACTCAACTTGGTTGTTCTGTTCATATTAATGGTGCAGGGAGGGCCAGTAGATCTAGTAACTGGATATTAGATCGAAATCTCATGTCTCGGTTTTGATCATTATAAGCAAAACATTTTTTGTAAATTTTTGCTAGAACTATTTAGGAACAAGGGTGGGAAGTTGGAAGTGATGTCAGGCTGGACTTGATTCTGAGTCCAAATATAATGTTTGTTTAATCAGACCCGAGTCCGAATAGTCACTTTGTTACACAATTTCTACTGCGTTCTACAGGCCTTTCAGGACAAGGACTAGATGAAATTATGATGCTAGTATCTTGGGATACACTTGTACATTGTTGCACATTGATAATTGATTGATAGAGTTCTAAACCAAAGTTATGACGCTTGTCCTTTTTCCAAAATGAAAGTGAAAAATGTTCTCCCATATTGAAGGCCAAGCAGATCCATGCAGAAAGAGTATCAGGCCCTCTTTGTTTTCACTGACTGGATCTATTGGCTGCAGTATTTTGTCTTACAAGCACTTTGCCATATTATATAGTCATAGTTATAGTAGGTAAAATGAGACTGATTACTTTCTTTTGACTCTGAGACTGTGTGCTTTGTGCTGGAAACAGAAATAACCTGGAGGCGGTTTTGAGGCCATGAGAGGGAGGCGGGGGGTTCCTTTGACAAAGTAACAGGATAGTTTTGAAGGAAGTAAGTGTGTATAAAATTCTAATCATTAATGCTAAAAAATAATCACTTGTACCTCTTTTATTCAATGTTGGTATTCAGAAGTACCTGCTATGTAGGTAGGTGATTTGGAATTTCTGCCTCAAAAAGTGTTTTCCCTGAATTTCATGGTTTTTATTTTTATAAACTTTAAGGCAAATGAGGAATGCAGCTCAATTCCTATCTGATATGTTATACCAGCAGTGCCTTTTGTGTGTCCGGGAGATACCAACTTCCTTGGCAATGGCTAGTCCTAGCCCTAAAGTTTCTTTGTCCAATTCCGCTATTGTCTTTTGGTCTTTCCAGACTGGGATGGGAGAATAAAACTTTCCAAGTTGAAAAAAAAAGGACACTTGTATATATATTGTAAGGAAAGGAGGTGGTGAGCTCTTAGAATCATGAGTGCCAATCTGTAATGTATCCATGTGTGTTTCTCAAGGTGTAGATCACAGAAGTAAGCCATAGGCCTATATTTATATACTTTGTTATTGTACAAAATTTTACAATGTGAAAAGACTTTGAAAAGGTCAGGTGATTCTTTAGTACAGAAAGAAAGCAGGTGTGAACTCTAAGGCTAATTCCCTTTGTTGTCAAAGTCTTTTTCCCCTTGTCGTTAAATCTCCTCTCCTCCAGCCTCAATGTA